CTTTAATCAACAGGACATTTATATATAGATACACACGTGTACACACACACACACACATACACACTTATTCACTAATTCATATATTTTTTTTATTAATATCATTTATAGACTCTTGTTAATAGAAACTGTAAATAAGGATGGTGTAAAAGAGTGACGCATCATAGCTGCTTCACTCTATCATGTTGACTGAACATTGACGTTGTATGAACATTTGTCCTTTGTGGGGCAGAATGACAGTGACAGTGGACAGTACAAGTATTTACTGATCACTGATTTTCATTATCCTTTAAGCAGTAAAAGATTGAAACTAAATGAGATCAACAGGAAGGTCACAAGTCTTAACGGTAGTATTAGTAGTGGGTCAATCATCTGTGTTTAATAGATTAGATTGATTATTCCAGATGCTGAAGGGTGCAACGGGGGGCGGCACAGCCAACTGTTGTAACTCTGGCAAGCATCCAGTGTGTGTGTGTGGGTCACGTAGATGATCGATGAGATATTATAAAAACAGGAATGAGTGACGGCAGCGTTGAAACAATTGTTGATGCCCACCAGGTTTTGTTTAAGCCATATGTATGCCTGGTGGGTTCCTCAGTAACTCATTATTTTCCAAAAGCAGAATCTTGTTTGTGTTTGCTCAGAGCTACTTCTCAATTTGGGAACACGTGGCAGGTAATGTACTGTAGCAAGTCAAGGAACCTTTAACGGTAATTTATTGTTATCAAAGTGTTAAACGAAGTAAAGGAATCACTCAGGATCATTAACGTCCAAGATACCACGAGTGACTGTGTATTTGGTGAAGGCTATGGCAAGCATGTTTTAGTATTACAAAGGAGTGATTCACGTGGACTTCTTGCAGCTATCAGGGGGAAACGTCCGGGTCTATTGTCCAACACAATGCTACTGCTTCAGGATAATGGCCGCCCTCACACTGCCACAACACCCCGGGCCAACTGCAATATCAGAGCAAGGAGGTTCTCCCTCACTCGCCCTATAGGTCAGACTTGGCTCCAGGCAATTTTCAGTTGTTTGGACCATTCATGGAATACCTACGTGGGTAGCGACCCCAATATGACAAACAGGAGGATAACCATATCCTGAAATAGGCATGGCGAGAGAGACACCGTTCGTCACTGGAAATGTTTAGCCGCTCATGTTTGGAAGACAAGTGTTGTGTTATACAGGGAGGTACTGTGGGGAGGCAGGATGAGTTGACTTTAAACTGTATGAACAAGACGATGGAAAAGTATTTCAATAACCCTTGTGAATTACTGTACACGAAAGCGTTTGGGAGCGTCGTGTTTTCTTGTTTCTTATGTGATTATCAACACGCACGCACGCACACACACACGCACACACACACACACACACACACACACACACACACACAAGTCCGCGTGTTATATGGACTAAAAATGAAGTATATATATATATATATATATATATATATATATATATATATATATATATATATATATATATATATATATATATATATATATATGTGAAAAAATTAATAAATTTACAGAATTAAAAAAAAATATATTTTTCTTCATGGAAATTTATCCCTATCATAGATAATTAAAATAATATTAGTAAAGTGTCCATCATTTCAATTAATTTCATACTAAAGCACGGAATTATATCGATGGCGCCAGTTTTATGCATATTTAACATGCAACACACACTCACATTGCAAATTAGTTGACATAAACGTAAATTTATCTAGTTAATAGATGTAATCAGACCTTCATAGTATTTGATATTACAACATGATACATATAAAGGATGATGCTTTAAACAATTATTATTTTTTGTGTTATGCGTTTGAACTGCTAAGGTTATTTGATCAAAAATATATTCATCCAATTAATAACCTATTACACTGATGGTTTTCAGTAAAAAGTAAATTACTTTTATTCTAATTTTGATGTTTTATAAATAAAGCAATAGCATTTTGTTTAAACTGCACGCAAATTAACAGTTTTCTAGACTACATAAAGGTTGCAGCAACAGGGTGGATGACCCTTGTCTGTTCTCGAACTGATCTTTGGTATGATCGACGCGACCTAACCATTCAGCAGGTGGAGGCGGTCGAGGGCGGTGTTGTCTTGAGTACCGAGTATAAAGTGAGTTACATCCACCTTCCCTTGTGGAGAGTCACGTATATGGGATCTATTTTAACTTTCTACTTCACATAAAATCGATTTAAAATAACAAATCCAAGTGATCATGATACCGACGTGGTGACAAGTGCAGGTATACAATAAGCCACTTATAGTAGTCATTGAACTGTGTGTGCGCGCGTGCAGTGACTATCTTTTTGTGCCTAAAATGAACGGTTAGGTTAGGTTAGTAAGCAAGTTCTGAGTTACAGACAGAGGAAGACCTGGGATAGAATCGTCCTCTTCAGGTGCGTGGGTCAGTACCAGCATGTTCTCTAGGTGGCGCTGACCTCAGTCATAAAGTATTGGGGACAAATACAGAGAGAGAGAGGGGGGGTTAGGAGAGAGAAGTGGTGGACGAGAGAGGGAGAAGACTGGATGAGAGAGGAGAAGTGGGTGAGAGAGAGAGAGAGAGAGGAAAAAATTACAATATATAAGATACACACATTTATAGAAAGAGAAAGCGATGGTAAAGAAACAAAGAGCAAGAGAGAGAGAGACAGAAACAGAGGATGGGGAAACTAAATGTAGGGGAGAGTGAGAGAGAAATATATAGAGTGGAAAGAAACAGAAGAAAAAAACACAGGGAGAGAAAGAGAGAGACACAGGGACAGGCGGAGAGAAGTACAGTCGAGGAAACCGCCACATATTGGCCGTTTTGTGGACTGAGTTGAATGGCAAACTGTTTGGAAGTGTGTTACTGGTAGCCTTCATTTGTGCAATTCCATTTCAACTCCGCTTTTCGCACACTGCCATCGTTAGCATTCTCGTAACCATCTGTACTTAGATATTTCCTTGTATATTTATTACCTAGTGAAAGAGAATTGCCAAGAATATGGATCTTTTCGATTCGTTATAATATTTGTCTGTCTATCTGGCTGTCTGGCTGTGGTGTGTGTGTGTGTGTGTGTGTGTGTGTGTGTGTGTGTGTGTGTGTGTGTGTGTGTGTGTGTAAAGCATTTTGAGTATAATCGTGCAAATAAATCGTCAAATACAATATTCATGGAAAAGAATGATAAATTTTTGTTATTTTTATAACTAAGAAAAATGACTATAAGGTAAAATTGACATCAGTTCATTTAATAACTCCTTCATTTTCTCACCATAGAGGTCTACTTAAATTATGTTAGGTTAGGTTAGATTAGGTTAGGTTTACATAAGGTTAAGTTTGTTAGTTAGCTCAATACTGATGCTATCCACTGACTTATATTCCGTTTATATAAATATCAAATTGATCCTGTGTACTTGTCAGTTTTAATTTTCGAAAATATTATTTACAGATATTGAAAGAATCGCCTGTTGCAATAACCTCTGAAACACATGGCAGACACACACACACATTGATCTTTTTGCCCAATAGGGATAACATTTTGTTTTGTTGCTACAACGATGGACTGTATATATATATATATATATATATATATATATATATATATATATATATATATATATATATATATATATATATATATATATATATATATATATATATATATATGGTAACAATTCATCCTTCATTTAAGACGTCGATTACCGTTCTTCGAATGTGGAATTATACGTAAAGTAGGTTAGGTTAGAAGGGGTTAGATCTGATTCGGTTAGGTTAGGTATGGGACTATTCATTTATAGGTAACACGAGTCTCTTCATGATCGTCTATGGCCAGTCAGATATTTATAAAAAACAGAAACACGAAATAATAAAAGTTAGCGCTAATCAGTAAATTTCCCTATGTCAGAATGCACGTTAGTCTGCTTGATAACATTCTAAGTCATCTTCAAATTGATGATACCCCGACATTTTTACTGTTAGCCAGACTGTGAATCAGGTGATTAATGGTAATATCAATGTGTACCGTCCTTAAAACCTTTTAATTTACTCCCTAATGAATATACCTCTATATAATTAGTGATAGTTTGGTGGTGGATTGAGATTGACATTGGATTGCAATTGATGATGAACTGTGACTGACATAGGGAAGAAGCTCTCCCGCCTCCGTAGCATCATATTTATTATTTTCCTTCATCGCGGTCAAAACAAACATCCACTAATGAAGTTACGGAACCAGAGCCATCCTCCGCGGCAAAACAAGGTCTGATTTCAACAACTTAGAGAAGCTTATACCATCCTAGCGGCTCATGGTTGGGCTAACTTCCACCAACTTGGGGAAACTCACACCACTTACATAAAAAAACAAGTGTGAGGTGAAGAGAATTATAATTTTTTTTTTTATCTTCTCTGAACAAGTAGTCATTTGAAGGCGACACATCTTACGGCTATCATAACTCGGCAAGAAAACATTGGAGTGGGACAATCGTGGTACAATACCTCTCTCTGTACTGTACATCGTTTTGTACCAAGATTTCGTGGTATTCCGTGGATAATTGTTGGGTGAATTCAATCAATCAATCGAAGGCGAGTGACAGGGGGAAGAAAGTTCAGTGGAAGGACAAAGGGCGGATGGAAGGGAATTGTAGAAGGGGAGAAAGATTAATTTTACGATCATCTAAATACAGACAGATAGACACATTCTGATTTCAATATCCCTTCTCGCCCTGGACGGGAAGAATAAAATACACTCGGGATTTATTAAATATGAGATTAGAAAACACAGAAACACGAGAGTTGACGCTAGCTAACACCAACAACAACAAAGACGACAACCACAATGACATTACCAATACGTCATGCAGAGGCGAAAGGAGAGCGCTTAACAATTCCAACCAAATTAGAGAACTCGACAAAGGGACAAAAACAAGTTACCTTTCACAAACACAGGTTACCACACGCCCAAAATGCAGCCACTAAGCACTGAACCGCTGACTAGGGGGACTTACCGGGGCTCCCTGGGATCTCGCCAAATCCTGCGTGAAATAGCAAGATCAGCAGAAGTGAAATTGGTGACATCATTGTTGGGATTCCTTGTTGATTTTCCTTAGGGCGTCGATGAAGCCTTTTTTCCTCCTCTCTGATATTGCCTGAGCGAAAGTTTGTGGCTGTTCTTTAATTAACACTTTTTTATATATTTTGTTCTATTTTTCTTCAATGGTTGTATGTTATTATGCATATCTTATTATGTATTGTTATAAACGTATTGTAAAACTTTCGGTGATTAATTATTTTCGAATTAGAGACATTCTTAGTGTTCTGTATGAGAATGTATTGATATTTTCTCTCTCTCTATATATATCAAATCTTATATTTTTGTTCTATTTTCATGTACTGTGAGTTTAATGAAGGATATGTGTCATATAATAATTATCTCTTCATATTCTTAAAGTTAGCCAAAGTAAGTGTCACTTTCTTCACTCGCCTAAACTTTATCTTAAAAAGCGCACAACAAGAATTAACAGAAGGTGAGTGGGTCAATCATTAAGACAAACTCCTCTCACATATTTAACGCCACGATATCGTTCTTCTCACTCTTTGCTAATGCCTGAAAATATCAGAGGGCCAATATCATTACGAATACAACACCACTATATAATTCCCACAACTGAAATGTCAGGCCAGGAGTAGTTCGGCTGGTGGAGAGTACCGGAGCGAGGGAGGACTGGAGAGCTATGAAACTCTAACCCTCTGTCCATGGCGGGCGCCGCGCTACTGACTGAGCCCGAGCTGCCCGACTCCCTCCACCATCAGCACCCGACCCGACCCAGTCACTAGTAAGCAGCCTCAGAAGCCGACGGTACCTTCGCACACTTTAACTGAAATCCTCTGTTACGTTTCTTTTATACTTTGCATGTGATTATAAGGCATCAAACCCGTCTTAGAAGGTATAAAGCCTTTGTTCTACACTTTGCATTTTAGTGTAATGCATCAGCACGTCCTCATAAGATGAAGCACTCTCATACTTTGCCCACGACTGTTTTCAACTAAACCAATGGTGACAGCTCCACAACACGCCTATGCCGATAGCCAAAATTGTTATTTCACCTTCCCATATGATTACAGGGAATCAGGACACTCTCAGACGCTATTCTTTGCATATGATTATTATTAATTGAATCAATCACTCAGCGAGGTCAAGATAAGACACGAAGTACGCCTCTCTTATACACTGTAGAACCAAGCCAGTCTTAAGAAACTAAAGCCCCATTTTTATACCTTCAATGTAATTATAGTTCATTTAATCTATCTCAACCCCATTCATAAGCTAAAAGGTGAATTCTAAGGTACATTTTCCATTTACTTTACGTATGATTATAATGCACCGAATGTATTTATATTTCGTTTGTCATTGTAATGCATGAAGTCTGTCATGGAAACGAAAATCCAAGGCACGATTTCTTTTCATACTTGACCTGAGTTTACCTGACGTTCTCCCCGGGCACTCATCCTCCTCCTTCTACCGTAACATAATCCGAAACTAAATTCCCAAAATGAATACTCGTCCGTCCATTCTGGCATTGTCTTACCTCACAACCAAGCGTAAGAACTCAAAGAAACTTATCAAATTTCCCCTTGAAGACTCTCACTCCTCTCCATGTAATGTTTCTTATATATTCTGATAAGTTGAAACATCCAAGGCTTCCAGTGTCTTCATTATTTTTTCTACCTGTGTTTGTAATGATGTTCTTCCGTCTCTTACTCAAGTTTGTTTATTATATTTGTGTGAAAGTTTGGATCGAAATCTGGTATAAGTAAAACCTCCATTATTGGATATTTAACGTTATATGGAGATTTCATTTATAACGGACCTCTATATAATGGACTGTACTCTCCTAAATATTCCGTTATATGGAGGTTTCACATCTAATAAACCTCGATATAACGGACTGTACTCTCCCATATAGTCCGTTAAATAGAGGTCTCGCTGTAATCAAAACCAAATTGTTGTGTCTCGTCTCTACGTCCCAGGGAGCAACAGTCCAAGTGCTTTAAGTCTCTCTCCCAGTAGTCGAGATGCTGCACCAAGTTACGGTACTTTTGGGAAGTTATTTACACAGTTCAAGTACTTTCAGACGTTCCCAGTGGTTGAGTTTTCGTACTGAGTTAAATGAATATTCTTCGTAAAAAAAATTCCTCTGTGCCTGATTGCTAACCTTGGTGTTACGGGTTTGAATCACGGCAACGGTGAATTTTTTTTTATGTTGATTTACTTTCTTTATCTTCGTTGTTTAATTTTTTTTGACTCGAATATGACGCCAGTTTTTGAAGATGACGTGAGGGTAAATCATATCCAAGTTAGGAGGGGATGATGACACGCTATTATTAGTAGTTTACATTACCCATTTAGCTATTCTCTTTTAATCAAAGCTACATTTATTTTGTTGTATTTTTGTGGTATAGGTTAGGTTAGGTTAGGCTAGGCTAGGCTAGGTTAGGTTAGGCTAGGCTAGGTTAGATCAATATACCTAGAACTGTACATAGCCCTACCGTCCTGTGATGCTGAATGTTGCCTCCTACACCGCTCTTGGTCTTCTGTAACAAAGGAACCGACATTCTTCCCCTCCCCCCTCCCCCCAACCTCTCCTGCATATCATACTGCTTTCTTCCGACCATTATATATGCTCAGTGTGTTCAGCTGATGAGATTTTTATGCTGATTCCAATATCATTCGCGGTGGGTAACACGAAACTACACTTTGTACTGTATCCTATAAGAGACTGAGAGAAGTGACAAAGACAGCGGCACAGTGCACTCGCGAATACAACATTTTATACATGACATTTTCTAGATTCTAACATATAATTAATTTTTCTAACCTATTTATTATCAACCAAAATATTACATCATTCCCGCCTTAATAGATATGTAAAGTATATAATTATTTTATTTTATGATACGCCAGGATAGTTATAGATACTGAAATATACGGTATATCTCTTAAACTCTTTGCATGCCGTTATAATGTATCGGGCCAATCTTTGCCACATCGCCTCCTGAATCTGAAATCCTTGGTTTTTAAGAGTCTTGAGACGATGTGATTCAGAATAGAATAAAAATGTACCTGTATTTTTGTGTGTGTTTAGTGTTTTTTTTTGTTTACTGTAATAAGGAAATACTTGTTTGCTATATTTAACTCTCTCTCTCTCTCTCTCTCTCTCTCTCTCTCTCTCTCTCTCTCTCTCTCTCTCTCTCTCTGATATACTTTATCATACCACGGAATAACTCTGTATCTACTTGAAAGCATATTATAATTTATGCTTTAAATCGTTTTACAGTGAAGGAGAAAAACATATTTCCCGATACATTAGTGAGATTTTCTGAGCTTCTCTATTTACATATATTACTAATGATGATTCAATATTCCTCGTTCATGTTTGTGATGAGTGTGAACCTAACCTAACCTAACCTAACCTAACCTAACCTAACCTAACTTAACCTAATCTAACCTAACCTTATCTCATGCTGGGTAATAATTATCTATCGTCAAAGTACATCACAGTTGTTAAGTTTATTTTAATACTGTATTACTTAGAACAATTATGATCCTTATATTTTTTAATTGAGAGTATATATCAGTATATATTGGTATTTATATAGTTAACTGATTCATTCATTCAGTCAGCCAAGGTTCTTAGTCAAACAACTGGTTTATACAGGTCGAAAATGTTAAAAGCGGATAAATAGTAATGAATCCTTAATTAGACTTGATAGCGCGTACACACACACACACACACACACATACACACACATACACACCTCGCTCACACACACACACACACACCCACACACCTGGCGCACTCACAAGACCGTCGATGACAGCAAATCAATGTTGGCAAACAAACCGGTCTAGGAAATGAGTTTATCTGGGAGAGGAGTCGCTGGAGCCTTGCCGAACCCTGCCGAACCTGAGTCTGTGAGTTATAAAACGACTGAGATGAGATCTTATTCAGTGACAACTCATTCAAAACAACTAATCCATAAGAAATCAATGGTGGTAAGCCTAATAGTCGGAGGGGAAGAACTTAACTCGGAATGACATCTGTTGGAGGCCGACCGAACAAGAAGAAATCATTAAATACGTCTTGTGAACTAATACTCGGAGGGAATTTGTCTTGTTTAGTGAAGATTATGTAGGAATCTACCTCTCGTATAACATCAGCTTCCATTAGTAAACAGATCGGGGAGACTGAATCTGTTATCCGTGAGGGACTCCTTCTATCCTCGGAATCATCTCAATTCAGTGTCCATAAACTCACAGGAAGAGGAAATGAGTTTCGCTCTTAGAAGAACGTGTTGTATAACGTGTTGTAAACTCCTAGAACCATGTAAAATGTTAACTCAGCGTCGGTAAACTCACATGAAGAGGAAACGGAGAGGAATTAAGTTCAGTTACGGAACCTGTTGAATGTATTCGTCCACATAATCACGGTAAACAAGTATCAGTCTACAGGTGTTAATAATCTTCTCATGTCGTGGGCAGGAACATCAACCACGACCATTAATAACGCTTCGGTGGCTGGGGTGTGTATGTGTCCACCAGCTCCAAGGCAGAGTTTCTGAAACGTTCGTATAGTTTTGATCCGTCATGCAAGACAAACAAACCCGTCTAACTAATTTTCTTAAACTTCAGTACCCAAACAACATCCAAATATTGTATAGTCATTACACTTGATTCTACCGTAATTATATATATTCTTTTAAGCTGAAAAATAATATCATATGAATATCTAAGCAGGTGGATTAAAGTCACCCTCTGTTACACGTAATTGGATCCGGCTAGTGATTAAATAATTAAATTTTCATTAGTTTCTTAATTCATTCCATGGATCACAATGTTCAATTAATCCTGTAAGTCTTCTACGTCACATATATTGCTTCCCTACCATTGAATACCTTCGCTGACAGCCGTAGAAAGTCCGAGTATGTATTTATTCTAACCAACAATATCCATAAATCATATACAATCTCATTGGTCTAAAAATATCACAATCTAAAAATAACTGATGAAAAATAATAAAAATACGAAAAATAATCAAACTGGTTAAAAACATGATCATAAAAATGTAAGTATTCACTCAAAGAAGCTTACGAAATGTCATTACTCAACGCAGGATATATCTTGGGTAATCTTTGAGACACGAGGAAAAAAATATATAAACAAAAATATTACTTCATATCCCAGAGAAATAGTGTAGACTGCGTGGAATATACTGTGGGCCGGACATATTAGCTCTGGGATTATCCTTTGGGCTGCAAGGCTTCCATAAAGATCCTCAGATTTCTTGTGTTTGAACAGCGACAACTAGCTCATGGTAACCAAATTACATATGTGGGGGTAAAAAAGTAAATTAAACTGTACCTGATCCTAAACTGTACCAAAACGCAGGAGAAATTACAAATCTTAGTATAATAGCAGGAATGTCTTATAGTTCTCACACGAGGCGGCATAATTCTGAAGGTAAAAGCAAATCTGTGGTGTTTCAAGTAAGTTTATAGTTCTCTCCTTGTTATCCTGTATTGATTAGTATTCAGGGGAACACTTAATGAGTACCTGCTGAGGAAATAATCAAAGTTTGTAAGTGGACGAACATAACAGCCGAGTTTTTTTTTTTACTGTAAGATAATACCCGAGGAAGCTTTGTAGAGCCGAACTGAGGAGGAAACGAGAAGAGAATGTGTGTGTGGGGGGGTGGTAA